AAAACAAAAACGTCTGTTGGTTGAACCACGGAGAGAAGGATTTGTCCATGCCTACATTAGTGAAAGCAAGGTCAAGGTCCATTGTAAAGGGAGATGAAGACCTTGCATGAAGAAAATTGTCAAGCCTTAGGCAAAAATTCTTAAAGGAACCTGAGTTAAGAGTGTGCAGCCAAGCCCCAGGCCATAGAAATTCTGAGGGTCATTCAACACAAAGGAATCAGGAAACCAGTCTGAGAGTGGAGCCACCCGCCAAAAAAGCAGACAGTTCATCCCAGAAGATCTAGCACGAACTTGCTGAGAATTTCCATCAAGAGTCCCTGGAACTTCAACACAGGGATCTTTTATAGGTGCAGCCAACCACACCGTGGCATCTGTCTCCCGGGGTGACTTCTGGGCAACGCAGATAGAGCGAGAGTCCATTGCAGCTGCCTTTTCATGAACTGTAGGGACCCTCACACATTCTTTTTTGCTTGTGCCTCAAAGGACAACGCTTCACATGCCTGTCCCCTGCTAATCCCAAAGAGAGGGAGTTTGATGACCTTGTGGACATGAGCACTATCTACACAAATAAGGAAAAACAGCTGGCTCTGCTTAGTTAGTTAATACAATTTCGTTCCATTTATGGGAACAAACATCTCCCTCACCAGGGAGCTCAACAATAGATGTACCAAGTACTTTCCATACAGTAGACACAGTGGATACAGCCATGTATTAATTAGCTAGGCTACACTTCCGTAACAACCCCCAAAGTTCAGTGATTGAAAACACAGGAAGCTGGCTTCCTTCTCATGTGACAGCCCAGGGAGGATGTTCAGGTCTTCCGCCACCGTTCAGGGACCGAGGCAGCCAGCTTCCACAGCAGCCTCCAAGGTCCCTTTGGGCCTTGTCACCATTTGCAGAAAGTGGCAAAGTAGAAAGGAAGCAGCATGGAGGAGGCACTCTCCTCTCTGGGCCTGAAGGATACATTCCAGCGGGAAAGACCTGGTCTCTCCTAATTGCCACAAAGGCCGAAAGAAGCAGGGAGCTACCTTTCTAGACTTCCTCACCCCCAAACAGTTGGGCTAATCAAGCACAAGGGGCCATGGCAGTGGGAAGTACCCTCCTGGTGGAGACCCTCTCCAGGCTGGTTCCTGGGCTCCCCCTCCCCCTCACCGCAGTCCCCAACGCGCCTGCAAGGCGGGGTGTATCGCCCACCCCAAAGGCATTCCCTCACTCAGTCAACATATATTTATTGTTCGTATCATATACCAGGCATGGGGCTAGGTGCTGGGGACATAAGTCACACACGGCTGATGTCTCCACAGAACTGACATTCTTGTGTGCTGGAGACGCAAGACAAAAGCCAACCAATCATTCAACACGATTTCCTAGAGCAGTAACAGTTTTAAAGGAAATGAAACCACCATCGTGGGAGTGAAAGTGTAGAGTCAGAGGGCTACTTTGGATGCAGAGGTCAGGGAAGCCCTCCCTGAGTCCTAAGAGGAGAGGGGACAGTCACACAGATGACAGAGAAGGCTTCGGCCCAGGAGCAAGTCCCAAAGCCTAAAGCAGGAATGGACTGGGCAAGTCTGAGGACCAAAGGGAAGGCCAGCATGGACAGTGGCCCATGGGGAGGGCAGTGGCCTGAAATGAGACAAGAGAGGTGCACAGGGCCATGTTGCAAAGAGTGAGCCACGGTAAGAGGTTATTGGATACTCAGCTAATGCTTATTGAGCCCCAGCTAATGCTTATTGAGCCAAGAGACTGAAGATACTACACTGAAGAACGAAATCCCTGCCTTGGTGGAGCCCACACGTGCCTGGGAGAGACAGAGTCAATAAACAAATGAATACATAAACAATATCACATCAGGAAGTGGGCAGAGCTCTAAGGGAGATGAAGCAGGAAATAAGAGGAGATTGATGGGGCTGCTATTGTACACGGGACAGAAAGGCAAGGCCTCTGGTGAAGTGAGCAGGCCTGAAGGAGGTGAATATCTGAGGGAACAGCATTCCAGAGAGCTCCTAGGGTTGCCCGATAAAATACAAGATGCCCGATAAAGTACAGGATGCTACTTTTGAAATTCAGACAGGGTCACCTGGGTGGCTCAGTCCGTTAGGCATCTGACTCTTGCTTTTGGCTCAGATCATGATCTGATGGTTCATGGGTTAATGGTACGGTGATAGCATAGAGGCTGCTGGGGATTCTCTCTCTCCACCCCTCCTCTGCACTCTCTCTTTCCCTCTCTCTCTCTCAAAATAAATAAAATAAATTTTAACAAAGAAAAGAAATTCAAATAAACAAATATTGCACAGGGCATACTTGTACTAAAAATGATTCATTGCTTATCTGAAATTCAATGTTAGCTGGGCACACTGTATGCTAAATCTGGTGACCATGAGAGAGAGGGAACAGAAAGTGTGAAGGCCCCGAGGCAGGAACATGCTTGCCATGTTCACAGCACAGCATGGAGACTGCTGTGGGTGGTGAGGCTGGAGGGGGCAGAGGCCACACACGCAGGACCCTAGGGTCCTGCAAGCACTCTGGATTTTCTTCTACATGGAGTGGAAGACCTGGGAGGGTTTTGAGCAGCTGTGTGAAGGACAGAAAGAGAAGACACAGGGCTGCTACTGTACTCGTCCCGCCTCCAGAAGGGTCAAATGGAGGAGGTCGAAGATCAAGGTTATTCCAGGTTCAAACATTCCGCTGCACTATGCCTGCCACTGTGTAGCCACAGAGATGGGAAGAAGAGAGTTTGGGGACCACTCCGGCTAGGATCCTCATTCCATGGGCAGGGATCAGGTGTACCCTCTCCCGACTCCCTTTCTCTCATTCTTCTCGAGGAAACAGCATTCCAGAGAGCTCCTAGGGTTGCCCGATAAAATACAGGATGCTACTTTTAATAATCAATGTGGACCGGAGGGCTCGTCAGGATGTCCAGGGCTTGGGCCATCACTATTTCTTCATCACTGTTGCATAGAGATAAGTGCAATTCATGCTGCAGCTCCCAGGCCTTCATGTGCCCCCCAGGCACAGTCCTGGAACCCACGGGCACAGCCGCCATGACACCACTCCTTCTTTCCACCCAAAATGGAGCAGAGTCCATGCCTGGAGAAATTGGCCTAACTGTTCTTCTGTCTCTTTTCTTGACCTATCTGTTCTTCTATCATGTCTACACCATGAAAGTAGGGAAGGAGGGGCTGGGTTTCTTTAGGTCCCATCACTGCTATCGATTCTCTGCCCTGCCGTCAGCAGTCCTGTGCCTACGGTCTGGACTCCTGGTGTACCAGCTGTCAGCTTTAATCATCAGCAAGAGTAAACACAGGCAGATACGGTTTCCAGGATGCTCTGTAAAACTTCTCACACTGAGCTTGAAAAGGAACATTTTCTGGGATTGGCTGGGGACATGTGACTCTACAAGCAACCAGAGTCCAGCTAAGAGAGGATAAGGAAATTACCAGGACAAGGCCAGTGGCGGGGGGGGGGGGGGGGGGGCCGGCCCTCCCTTTAAAGATGCGATGGAAAGAGGTTTCCTTATGACTTCTTAAGAAGAAGCTCTAGACCTCAGTTTCCAATAGCAGCAACTGATTCCAATTGCAATGATTGAATGATCCTGTACAAAGAGCATTGATTCAGGAATTGACTCGAGAGTTATAGATCTACCTAGAAGGACTTCTCCAGTGATTTGTCTCTGTCCTTGGCTTTGTCCTATAAAACATCTACTTCAACAGCTTGAATAGAAACATGTCAAGTTTACAGAGAATCCAAAACACTGACGAACCAGGGGAAAAACCTGAACTAGCTGAGTAACCTTGGGCAATATGCTTAACCATTCTGAGCTGCAGTTTCTGCATCTGTAAAATAAATAATAAATCCCACTTCTGTAGAGTGTTCTGGGGATTAACTGAGATGCCCTATGCAAAGTACCTATCCCAAAGTTTGGCACAAAGAACACACCCGGTAAGTAATAATTCCCTTCCCTCGGTTTTGTCATCTGTGAAATGGGGATGATAAAAGTATAAATGTCATCAGAAACTCAAACCCAATTCACTTTGGAAAGAAGACTTAGTTGCTGGATAACGACCACAGGCTACAACAATAGACCAAAATCAAGAAAATGAACATTAATAAGCCGTGCAATTAAAAACTAATAACGGCACAGAGAATACAAGCTTGATAACAATTCCAATGAAAAAGACCCGAGAGTTTTAATTAGTCACAAGCTCAGTTTGAAAGCAGAGTGGGACACGTTTACCATGAGAAGCTTATGCAATCATAGGTTACATAATAATAATAATTAACATATACTGAACACTTAACTACATCCCAAGTGATAGTCTAAGTATTGTTCTTTACTCCTTTAATGCCCTCAACAACACTATGAACTGCTACATTTATCACTAGTTTATAGATGACAAAACTGAAACAGAGAGAGGTTAAGTACATTGTCTATCGTCACATTAATTTGTTAATAGCAAAGCTGGGACAGAAATAGCAGAACGGGGCACAGTTCAGACCACATCTGAAGTGACTGGGTTAGTTCTCGGTACCGCGTCACATACAGCCACATTGTCCCTGCCCTGATGTACCCCAGCCTTCAACTGTTCTGTGCCATCAGGTCAGGGGGTGGGGGAGAGGTCAGGGGTCACATAGCTTGGAATTAAGCCACTCACCCGGGCCCAGGCTGTAAAGGCAAAGCCATTACATCAAGGTACCCGCGTTACTCTTTAAGATCATGTCACTGTCTATCAGACAAGGGACTTCGTGCCTCAAGATAGGGCCTTGGGTGCCCTATTGCCCCTGAATTGTCACATTTCTTTCCCCCCTCCTCTTCCTCAGCTTATTCAACTGATCCCCACATGTTAATGCTGTCTACCCTAAAAACTGCTACAGAAGACTGAGGCAAGCTGGATAATTCTTTGAAGTCTCATAACTTCTAAACATTCATGCAAATTTTGTACTCTCTTCCATACTATATCTGGGTTTGTTTTAATGTAAAAATAATATTTTAAGTGACTTACCACTGAGTAAAATTGATGCTCCAGAGTGATGAACCGTGGTTTTCCTGCAGCTTTGTAGAAACCCTAGCACACTGCTACACGTCCCCAGTTTGAAGAGCTCAGAACTGCAGATGCGTCTTTCCTAACATGGAAAGATGTCCAGGGCACATCATTAGGTGATAAAAGCAGGTTACCAAACAGAATGCACGGTATGACTCTATTCTTGTACACTGCCTGGAAGGTTACGAGTACATCAGTATGTTAACAGAGGTTTTCTCTGGGCTGTAGGAACATGGGTGATTTTTCTTTTGTTCTTTTTGCTTCTTACGTCATGGAATTATTCTACAATGCACATATGTATTTTTTGTGGGGTGATGTATGGGGTTTTGTGGTGGTGGGCTTTGGGGGGGGTGGGGATTAGTTTTGCTTTTTAAGATTGAAGAGTTTGAGCTGCCTGAATCTTTCAAACACTTGCTCCAGCAGGCTATGCCTTTCAGCCCGTGAGGTCTTTGCCATCGGAAGCAGGGGGGCCGAGCTGCAAAAACACCGTGCACGTGAATTTAACTTAGGCATCCTCCCTGGCACCTCACCTTGTCACTCCATTGACTTCACCAGCTGTGACCTCAAATATCTGAGATGCTCCTATAAACCCCTGTTGCCTGTGAAGTTTGCTGTGGGGCAATCCCCAACCCTGCTTAATCATTCAGCATAAGTTTTCTGCATCCTGCCCACATCCTCCCAGCAACCAACTCCAGGTGGGACCACGGTCTTGCCTCTTGACCTCAGCCTTAATGCCACAGACCCAGGAGGGAAGCCTCCCACACTGGGCTTGTCCCCACACTGCGCACTCTCCCTATGTCTTGTCACAACTCACTGCTCGTTTGGAACATATGGCTTGACTCCCTTCTTCCCTAGAGGTTGCCCCACCTCAAGCTCAGTTCCCCAGTCTTCTCTCTCTACCTGGTTCTAAGGTCTCAGTCAGGTCCCCTTCCTACCTCACCCGTGATGCCTTTAATCGTGATTATTTGTTGCACAATTATTATGCGGCAAGCACGTGCTAAATATTTTATATCCATTGTCTTTCAATTTTCATAATAATCCTTTAAGGTAACTTTCACAGTCCCCATTTCACAGGTAAAGAAACTAAGGCTCAGGGAGATGGAGGGAAGCTTAAGATCTAAGCTAGGCTCACCTGGGTAATGTTTGAGGTTGTTCATGAGGCTGCAGTCAGATGGTGGCTAGGGATAAAGTCGTCTCAACGACTTCTTCCTGACACGCACATGTCCAGTGGTCGACGCTGGCTATAGGCTTGGACTGGGCCATCAGCCAAAACACCTGCATGCAGTCTCTCCATATGGTTTCTCCACTCGGGTCAGTTTGGGCTTCTTCAGTTAGAGAATATGACTGAAATCCAAAGACAGCAAGATGAGTTTTTAGGACCTAGCCTCTGAAGTCACACAGCATCACTTCTGCCATCTTGTATTGGTCATGACAGTCACAAAGCTCTGTCCAGTTTCAAGAGGAAAGAACATAGACCCCACCACTCAATGGAAAGAGTGTCGTCGCACTGCAGGAAGAACACGTGGATGGGATATATTGTGGCAACCACCTTTGGAAACTGTAATCTGCCACAATCACATCACTGGTACATTGGACACAGCCAGTATTTGAACCCAGATCTGCCTCACTGCAAAGCCTGTGCTGTTAAACCATGGTAATACACTGCCAAGAGAGATTCATAATGCCTAAAGCTCTGAGCCTGCGACACAGAATATAACACATCATGACAACATTACCCAGCAAGCATGTGCAGAAGAGGGAGGCCAAGATGTTGAGATGCCCAGAAACAATGTCATATGATTTAACAATATTGAGAGATTGAGAATATTGAGAATATTTAGCCCAAAGAAGACAAAACTGAGAAATGAAATGACAGCTTTCTCAAATATGTATATTTTTAAATTTTCTTAATGTTTACTTATTTTTGAGAGAGAGAGAGAGAGAGAGAGAGAGACAGAGTGGGGGGGGCAGAGAGAGAGAGAGAGAGAGAGAGGGAGAGAGAGAGAGAGACAGAATCCAAAGCAGGCTCCAGGCTCTGAGCTGTCAGCACAGAGCCCGACACGGGGCTCAAACCCATAAACCATGAGATCATGACCTGAGCCGAAGTTGGACAGTTAACCACCCAGGTGCACCAGCTTTCTCAAATATATTAAAGGCAAACATGTGCAAGAGGAAAGACAGATTGTGCATTGCATCCCCAGAGATGAAAGAGACAGATAGGCAGATCCAGCCCATCACGGCAGTTCGGTGCAGAAGGCAGAGCACTGAGCTTGAATGTAAGCAAACTAAGTTTACCTCCCAGCCGTACCTCTTACGCAAATCACTTATCCTCTCTAGGCCTCATTTTCCACATCTGTAAAATAGAGATAATAAAGCCTGATCTCCAGGATTTCTGTAAAACTTAGGGATGATACATGTATAGCAACCTGACATATAGGAAGCACTCAATAAATAACAGCTGCTATTATTGTTATCATTATTATTTGCTGCTGTTGTGGTTGTTCATTAGAGCTATTCAGCAGTGGGGTGGGCTGCCTGGCAAAAACACGAGGTCCCCTGAAAGGATGCCTATACTTAGCAAGGAGAAGTATCTGGATGAAACGATGGACTGAAAACCAGGAAGTTCTTGGCCCTTGCCCACCCCGGGCCACCAGAGATGAAAGCCAACCCAGGGAGACCCCATTGTCCCTTGGATGGACTTAGCCTTGGGACCTGCTGGGAGTGGGACAGCACTGGCTAGGAAAGAATGAAAGGAAACAGGAAGGCATGAGACTGAGATGGCAGCACTGGGTCTCTGGGGAGGTGTGGGAAGGCAGCAGAGGTCTTTGGGCAAAGACCGTGATTAGAATCATAAAGATGTTGGTGGGGTTCTGGAAGCATCCATCTAGGCAGGGTTCCTGGGGACAGCCTCCAATCCTGAGTGGAAGGCCATGGTGAGACTGAGTTAGGGCTGGGCCCCAGACAAGAAGGATGACTCCAACAAGCACTGGTTACAAATCAGGAAACCAATTCCCAAATCAGATCTTATAGCCTCGCAAACAATATAGGGGCAGGAGGGAAGGGAGGCAAGGAAGGAGTAGGGGAGGGAGGAGGTACTTGATCCCAATGAACATCTTGTACAGTAGCCGCTATGTGCCAGAGGTAACTTCACATTTTATGACTCATTTAATCATCACCATGATCCCCTAAGCTGTCTGTTATTATTATCCCCATCTTACAGGGGAGGAGAGCGAGGTATAGAGAGGCTAAGGTGCTTGCTCAAGTTCCTAGAGCTAGAAGTTGCCAGAGTCAGGTTTGACCTCAGGAAATCTGGTTCCAGTGGTGTGATCTCTACCACTCTGCTCTCCCGTCTCCGTAGGTGCTAGCCAGATGCATACACCACTTCATTTCGTTTTATTTTTAAGGGTAGTTATTGCTGTTCCTATTTTCAGAGGGCCATGGACGCTCAGAGGAAGAGAAGCTTCCTTGATATGAAACAGCTCGTAGAGAACTGAAGCAGGACATTGACACAGGTCTGTCAGCTCTTGCAATCACAGCCAGGCACAAGGACACAGGACCCACCAGAGGATGTTAGCTACCAGCTTAGAGCAGCAGGACCAAGTGATTCCATTTGCTACAGCCAGAGGCCATGAGCCAAAGGTATCCGGGCCTGCCTTGGGCAGAGTGGGCCCACGGGATGGACAGCTGGTCAAATCTCAGGGTCATGGCAGGGTCTCGGTGATTTAACAGGGACAATACCCCCAGAGCAGGACACCTGTTCCCTCCCCCAACCCGCCCCCAACCTCCCCAACAAATGCAGCCGTGCTTGGGCTTGCGGTGTCACAGTGATAAATTCCACTCTCTGATGGCAAAACTCCCGGGCCCCATCCCTGTCTGCCTGTTAAGCTGCAAGACCTTTCCCTGTGTCACCAGGGAAAACCTCGGAGAAAAGGAAAAAGACTGGGTTTCCAGACAATTAAACTCCCATTGCCACTACTGCCTGCCAATCTCCCTGCTAATCACTTAGAGCCAATGCACCTTGGAGGAAGGGGCAGTGGGGGCTGCTCACTGCAGCCCTGCCTACTGACAATCCTTGTCTTTTCAGCAGGAAGGGACCTTAGAAGGTCAACTTGTCCCTTCTCCTGCCCTGGCTCAGACTCACTTCATGCAGAGAAAGAAAGCTGGCTGAGCCAAAGGGACAGGTCTCCCTCCACATTTTGTGACAAAAATATCAACCAGAGTTTATCCAGGAGCCAACAAATATTTAGTGAGCACTTTCCATGTGCCAGACGCTGGGCTGATTAAATAGGGCTCCAGCCCTCTGTCTACAAAGCTTCTAATCAGGGGCTTGAGCAACAAGGACCAAGGAAAGGAGTGTTCTTCAGATTGGGGGGATAGAAATGCTGAAAACTTCTCTCCTCCACCCCTACTCCATCATCTCCACCAGCACCCCACAAAGCACACATTCTTCCTGCCTTCTTTTCTGGCTTGACTGGACTAGGAAATACTTTCATGCAAAGCATCAGACTTTCCCAACACAAAGGTTCAATAAATAAAGTCTCTCTCTCAAAATAAATAAATAAAGTTTTAAAAAAGAGTACATTTTAGAAAAAATACACATAAAGCAGTGACTCTAGGGTGTGGGGAAATGGACCCTTTTATACACTGCTGGTAGAAGTATAAATTGGTGCAACTTTTTGCATGGGGGACAGGAGGAGAAATTGGCAATAAGTTACAAGGAAAACTCACTGTACTCACCCTTTTCCTCAAAAATCTTCTTTCCAGAAATTTACTTAAGGTGTATTAAAAGAGATACATTAGACCAATGGTCATCACAACATCACTTATAATTATGCCAAAAGCTATGTATAATTTAACGCTTAACATATGATATTTAACATTTTAGAGAACTGCCCATAATAAAAAAAAAATCACAGCCGAATATCCAACACCTATCTTAAGAAATGGAATATTCATCCTGTACACCTGAAACTAATGTAACACTGTGTGTCGACAATACTAAAAAAAACAGTCTGTTGAAATAAATATACATAGTATTCTTAACTGCTCCCCACAAAAAAATAGGATATTCACTACAACTTCAGAATCTCCTGCATGCCCTATCCGATCCCACTACCCCAAATTTTGTACTAATCATTCTTTTCCTTTCCTTCATAATTTTACCACACATCTATGTATCTCAAAAGAAAAAAGAAAGAAAATTTTTCATTTTTCCTATATTTCCTAACGTTTATTTTTTAGTCAGACAGAGACAGAGTGCAAGCAGGGGGAGGGACAGAGAGAGAGGGAGACACAGAATCCAAAGCAGGCTCCAGGCTCTGAGCAGTCAGCACAGAGCCAGACATGGGGCTTGAACTCACAAACCTCAAGATCACGACCTGAGCCAAAGTCAGACACTTAACCGACTGAGCCACCCAGGCGCCCCTCATTTTTCCTATTTTTGATCTCTATCTAAATGTGGTCAATTTGTCCATGATTTTAGATCTAACTTGATTTTTCACCCCACAAGTTAGATGATGATGATTATTATATATAATCAATATTTATTTATACTTACCATTTTCTTTTGTCACCTTTCATTCTTGTACTTCAAACATCTAGGGAGTGTTTTTCTTCTTCCTGGTATATATCTTAGTTCCTTTAGTAAGTGTGTCTTGGGAGTCAATTGTATCACTTATTTTTAAAACATTTTTTAATTGTCTTTATTTTGCCTTCATGTTTAAGAGATCATTTTAATGAAAGTAGAATTCTACATAATATTTTCACTTAGCACTTCAAAGCTATTATTCCATAGTCTTCTGACTTCTGTGGATGTATTGAAATATAAGCTGTGGGCCAAATGCTCATTGCTTTGTAAGTAATCTATCTTTTCTCTCTATTTTTAGGATCCTCTCTTTGTCTTCAGTGTTCTTCTATTTTTCTACAAAATGCGGGCTTCTTTTCCTTTATCCAGTTTTGGATTCACTAGGCTTGTCGAAAATGGGGACTAGAGTCTCTCATCAAGACTGGAAACTTTTCAGTCATTATTTCCATTCTCTCTGCCATTCTTTGGGAGTTCAATTATATGTAGGTTGTATCTCCTCACTCTGTCCTTTATATCTCCTATCTCTTTCATCTCTTTGTCTTTCTATTGTATTCTAGATCATTCTTCAGCAATACTTCCAGACCACTAAGTCTTTCTTCAGCTGTGTCTAATTTATTATCACATCCATCCAGTTGCTCATTTTAATGATTAGATATTTTTATTTTCTAGAAGTATTTGTTTCTCTTTTACATCTGATTAGGTTATTCTGATAGCCTTTTGTTCCCTCATTATACTTCCAATACTGTCTTATTTTGTAAAA